GCGCAGACTGGGCGTGGTCGCGCCTACGTCTTTGCGCGCGCGCGCAGCGGGGCGACGTCGCCACATCTTTATAAGGCGGGCGTCGGAGCGCTTCGCTCGTGGGACCTTGTTCGTGAGAGGGAGCTGGTTGGTGGCAGGCAGTGCGCGAAAGGGTGCGCTTTTAAAAAGGTCTCCGGGAATCTTCGGGAAGATGCGTGTGGTGGGAGCTCCGTTTCGAGGCCTTTTAAACTGGTATGTCCTCTTTGAAAAGGTCGTCAGAAGGCGAAGCCACTCTCCTAAAAACAGGAATGTCCCAGGAGAACGTGGAAACGGGGTAAAGCTCAGCAAAGCAGTCCAAAGTGTTTGGGCTCACTTTACACCGTGTATTCAACAAATCCTGTGGAGCAGCCTCGAAGCGCCCGTCCTGCCCGCATTTCGCACCCTCCTCCCCCGGGACAGCACGAATGATTGATTAGGCGTGGAGGGGCTTGTGTCAGTCGCGTTATTTACGTGGGTTTTTCCTCCCGACGACGCCCGGTGAGATAGGTACCTCAGCCTTAATTCGCGCACAAGGAACCGGGTTTGGCCGTTAATCAGGGTGGAAGCTCGAAACCAGCAGGGCCTTTTTTGTGTTTCCCCCAGCTCTCAGGACAAACTCTTGGTAATCCCTGTATGCCATAAGGGCATCCCCAAACGTTTTAGTCCCTTTAATAAGTTTGTAAGATACGCGATATTATCCGTCCGTAGTTTATAGAGGAAAAAGGGTTCAAGAGAGGTAAAGTTGTCTTTCTAAAGGTTACTCAGTTGGCAAAGGCGAAAAGGAACTCTACTCCCCCCCCCCCAATATCTACATAAAACCTCATTCCTGTCGGGGGCTATGGAACTTCATCCGTTGCCTTTGCTTGGAAAGCCCTTCGGCACACACTTAAGTTCAGTTCCTGGGAACTCTCGATGTTAACATCGTCACAGGAGCATTTCCTGAACCCCTGGTACTGAATTAGGTTCCGACTTTTCTGGCTCCCTGTCCTGCGTTGTTTTCTCCCCAACACAGTATCACGCCGTATGTTGCACTCCCTTGTTGTTTGCTTTACGAGGGCACCCACCATTAGAATCTGGACTTAAGATTAAATATTCTCGTGTCTTCGATTTTCTCCTCCGTCCTCAGCAACTAGAACTACCTTGAGTGAATGAAACAATCCCTGCCCACTGAAATTCCATTGTAATGTCATAGAGCTCTGTCTTCAGTTGGATGGTGTATTTAGTTAATAGACTTTCCCACAGCCTCATACCTGGCTAAAGATACAAGTCAGGCTGTTGAATGGTCTTGTACTCTTAACAATCGAGTAGGTCTTCTGTGTGGTTTAGGCGGTTTTGTTACCTTACGTGAGTTTATATATTAGAATTTTTCTTAAGGTGAGAATGGACTACATGAGAGAGAGAGAGAGAACAGATAGACTGCACATGAAAGCATTTGTGTGTTGTTGCTGAAGACAAACTCGGTTTACCTTCACCTGCTTTGTGTAAGTTTGCATAGCTGCACACTTGGAACAAACCCAGCTATTTCAGCTTTGAGCCTGGCTTTCTTAATGTTGTCTCCTCTCGTTGTGAACCAAAGTATAACTTGGAAAATTCCTTGAAAGTTTTAGGAAAACAACACCCAGGCATAATACCACAGAAACGCTCAAAGATCTGCTGTCATAATTCAGATCTTTTAATGACATATCTCACAGGTGGTCTTTCCTGGGGGAGGCACCTGGCTGTTGAGGAATCTGTGGCAATTGCACAGGGCATTTATTAGCATACGATTTGTGCATTTTTCCCCCAGTACTGGGAATCGTACTCAAGACCTTGTGCTTGCTAAGCAGGCACACTGCCACTGAGCTAAATGCAGCCCCTGCAGCCATTTATTTTTAAAAGGTTAATTGGGGTGCATTATGGAATGAGACGCTCAGTGTCTACCATTTAAATTACTACAACCTATTACATAACACTTGGCCCATGGTGTATGAAGTAAATTAGCATTTCCTAACTCCTGAAGTCAGTGCCTGCTTACTCTTATTCCCTCAGCCTCATTGTTTTGAAGGCATTGTGTCTTTCAGTAAGATGTTCTATAAAGATGTATGTATTAAATACTTGTAAGATGTAATCTGCTCTTAAGAGCCCAGAATCTGGATGAACTCTTAAGATACAGGCACAGAAGCTTCAGTCATGGTCACTTGGCATATTGCTTTTAGGCCTAGGGTGAATCAATACATTGTTTCAGAACCACGTGGCTGAGGAAATTAGGGAGCAGAAAAGATTGAGAGTATTAGGTGCAGGGGATTTAGCTCAGTGGTTTTGCCGCCTGCCTTGTGAGAGCAAAGACCCGAGTTTGATGCCCGGTACCAAAAAAAAAAAAAATATTGAGAGTAATAAAATACTATTTTACAGATATAAGGGTGCTAGAGAAGACACATGACTTGGTTACTTTATTGTTGAGACAAAATACCTGGCACCCACAACTGAAAGGAGGATAGGTTTATTGTTTTGGCTCAGAGTTTGTGGAAGGTTTGAGTCCATATTCATCTGGCTCCAAGTCAGGACAGCACAACAGAGAATAGCAGAAGAGAAGCTGCTCACATCATGTTGGCCAAGAAGGTGGGGGGGAGGACACCATTTCAGGGCATGCCCCCAATGACTTGCTTTTTCTGATGAGACTCCACCTCCTAACAGTGAGTCTCCTATAAATCTCCATAATCTAGTCACCTTCCAGAAGCCCAGCATGTGAGCACATGAGGCCCTTGGGGGACATCTAGATAAAAACGTTAACAAGAAAGCTGAAATAGTCTAGTAGTTTGGAAGACTGAGATAGACTTTGAAAAATGGTGGGGTTTGGGAATCTATTTTTGAGGTTAGATGTGTCAGGTGGCAGGAGGTATGATGTATGTGTGTTACATGAAGGGAGTGTGCAGAGAAATTATGGCTGTCTAAAGTGAGACTTAGTTAAATAGAAGTGCTGGGAAGAATATTTTCTTCTTATTTTCCCTAATTTTGACTTCAATTTTCCTGCTGGTGATTGACAGTGCAGGCCTGACAGTAATACACAAAAGGAATTACTGGAGAATGTGGGCAGTCAGTAGACAAGTAGAAATAAGGACAGAAAATTAAGGTATAGGATGAGAAAGGAACGACAAGATTTAAAGAGTGAGAAATGATTAAAAGAATTGCTGTACGTGGTGGCACAATCCTGTAATCCCAGCACTCGGGAGACTGAGGCAGGAGGATCACTGCGAGTTCAAGACCAGCCTGGGCTACATAGTGAATTCCAGGTCAGTCTCAACTACATAGTGAGACATTAAGTTCAGTTCCTGGGAACTCTCGATGTTAACATCGTCACAGGAGCATTTCCTGAACCCCTGGTACTGAATTAGGTTCCGACTTTTCTGGCTCCCTGTCCTGCGTTGTTTTCTCCCCAACACAGTATCACGCCGTATGTTGCACTCCCTTGTTGTTTGCTTTACGAGGGCACCCACCATTAGAATCTGGACTTAAGATTAAATATTCTCGTGTCTTCGATTTTCTCCTCCGTCCTCAGCAACTAGAACTACCTTGAGTGAATGAAACAATCCCTGCCCACTGAAATTCCATTGTAATGTCATAGAGCTCTGTCTTCAGTTGGATGGTGTATTTAGTTAATAGACTTTCCCACAGCCTCATACCTGGCTAAAGATACAAGTCAGGCTGTTGAATGGTCTTGTACTCTTAACAATCGAGTAGGTCTTCTGTGTGGTTTAGGCGGTTTTGTTACCTTACGTGAGTTTATATATTAGAATTTTTCTTAAGGTGAGAATGGACTACATGAGAGAGAGAGAGAGAACAGATAGACTGCACATGAAAGCATTTGTGTGTTGTTGCTGAAGACAAACTCGGTTTACCTTCACCTGCTTTGTGTAAGTTTGCATAGCTGCACACTTGGAACAAACCCAGCTATTTCAGCTTTGAGCCTGGCTTTCTTAATGTTGTCTCCTCTCGTTGTGAACCAAAGTATAACTTGGAAAATTCCTTGAAAGTTTTAGGAAAACAACACCCAGGCATAATACCACAGAAACGCTCAAAGATCTGCTGTCATAATTCAGATCTTTTAATGACATATCTCACAGGTGGTCTTTCCTGGGGGAGGCACCTGGCTGTTGAGGAATCTGTGGCAATTGCACAGGGCATTTATTAGCATACGATTTGTGCATTTTTCCCCCAGTACTGGGAATCGTACTCAAGACCTTGTGCTTGCTAAGCAGGCACACTGCCACTGAGCTAAATGCAGCCCCTGCAGCCATTTATTTTTAAAAGGTTAATTGGGGTGCATTATGGAATGAGATGCTCAGTGTCTACCATTTAAATTACTACAACCTATTACATAACACTTGGCCCATGGTGTATGAAGTAAATTAGCATTTCCTAACTCCTGAAGTCAGTGCCTGCTTACTCTTATTCCCTCAGCCTCATTGTTTTGAAGGCATTGTGTCTTTCAGTAAGATGTTCTATAAAGATGTATGTATTAAATACTTGTAAGATGTAATCTGCTCTTAAGAGCCCAGAATCTGGATGAACTCTTAAGATACAGGCACAGAAGCTTCAGTCATGGTCACTTGGCATATTGCTTTTAGGCCTAGGGTGAATCAATACATTGTTTCAGAACCACGTGGCTGAGGAAATTAGGGAGCAGAAAAGATTGAGAGTATTAGGTGCAGGGGATTTAGCTCAGTGGTTTTGCCGCCTGCCTTGTGAGAGCAAAGACCCGAGTTTGATGCCCGGTACCAAAAAAAAAAAAATATTGAGAGTAATAAAATACTATTTTACAGATATAAGGGTGCTAGAGAAGACACATGACTTGGTTACTTTATTGTTGAGACAAAATACCTGGCACCCACAACTGAAAGGAGGATAGGTTTATTGTTTTGGCTCAGAGTTTGTGGAAGGTTTGAGTCCATATTCATCTGG